TTATGAATGTATATCGCATGTGTCACCTTTTGTATATCAAACTCTGATGAATGAAAGTAAGTTAATTCAATTACATTTTCGCTTATGAGATGAGTTTGTTGCATTTATTTTTGGGGCGTTACACGATTTGATTGGTATTTTTTGCAAAATCGATACAAATCTACGGGTGAATCTATTTTGGAAGTGAATCTCTAATGAATCGCACGATTCACAATTGATTCACGGATGCTTGCTCTGGTATGGGGATCTGATTGATATTAGAAGCTTCCCAAATCCTGGTGATCAAACTCTGTATATTCGGGTTACAGCTGCAGACCTAGGTACGTTTCTTGTGATTTGTGTTCAATAATTCCGTAGGCTAGATAAATTTGGCCAAACACATAAACTACACAGATTTTTTTATTTTATTTTTTATTTTTAAATATAATTTTCACTGGATGGTGTTTGTAGTGTCTAGATCAGATTCCAAGGAGAAGAAGAAGAGGCCCATGTTGGTGATTATCCCCATCTCAGTAGCTTTGTTGTTCCTCCTTGCTTCTTGTATAATATGGAAGAGGATAAAACAAACAAGAGGTAAATCTAAGGTTCCTTAATTTGGTTGAAAGTTAACAAAAAAAATAGAACTATAAAAAAAATAGAATGGAACTATAAAAAAATGTTGCATAATAAAAAAAAAAAATTATACTTGTTCTTAATGAATCTTGCAAAAGAAAAAAAAATGTCCAAAAAATAATTAGTCATGTACATAACAATTTGCAAAGAAATCAGATATCTTTACAGGCTTTTTTGAAAACTACTCTTCCTCATGAAAAACATAAATCCCAGACAAAAATAATAGAAAAAAGAACAAACACATTTCCAATTAATTTTCAAGAGTAAAACTAAAAAAAAAAAAACCCAGTGATCCACATTGATCAAAGCAACTAAAATTAATAAACAGATTAAAGAAAAACTAATCCAGTGGCATAAGAATTTAGTTATATAGTGTTTTGGAAATTAGGAATAAACTCGCTTATTGGCTTCTTCTTTTTTTTTTTTTTATTATTATTATTTAAAAAAAGGTGCAAAAAAATAGAGAACTGATGTGATCCAAATAAGCCAATAAATCGGCTTTTTCCTAGTTATCAAAATAGGCCTTAACCCAATTAGAAACTCTCAATTCTACCAAATGTCAACAACAATTTATCAAAATAAAAAATAAAAAATAAAAAAAATTCATACAATAGAAAAGAAAGCTCACATTCAAAATAACTAAATAAGTATATGTATATATATCAAGATACATACATACATGTGCAAATGTAGCCAAAATTGGTTTGATCACCCAAATTCTGAAACTGAAAACTCCAGGATAAAAAAATAAAATGTATACATAACAAAGCTCATGCACTCCATCTGGGATGCGAAATTGAGTCTATGGTGTGCAATTTTTGGTGGGGACAAAGAGAGGAAACCCGTAAAATTCATTGGACTAGCTGGAAACAATTGTGTAAATCTAAATTATGTGGTGGTATGGGATTTCGGTGCCTTCAACACTTCAATTCAGCTTTGCTGGCCAAACAGTGTTGGCGACTACTGCAACGGCCTCAATCTTTGGTTGCGCGGGTATTTAAGGCTAGGTATTTTCCACAAACTTCATTTCTCGATGCGTTGGTCGGAAGTAACCCATCCTTCACCTGGAGGAGTATA